AGTCCCGGCGAGGGGCCGCCCCCGCCCGCCCCGAGGGCTGGGCTCCGCCGGAAGAAACCCGGCAAACTTCGGGCCGACTCGCTGTCTCCCCACCGCGGCCTGGGCTCGCTCCCCCGCCGGGCCGGGGGGCGGGGGGTGTTAACTGTACTGGAGGAGCCGAGTGCACTCGCGGAAGGGGACGAGTAGGCTTGCGGGAACTGTCACTCTTAAGTAGCTTTCTTAAAAACGAAGGTAAGCAGTAAGATGACAAATCTAGGGGAACAAACTGCATACGACTTCATGAGGCCCAAACCTGGATGCTAGCTACTTGTATCGGAGACCAGGTTTGCAGCTGACAGTTCTTTCCCCGGCACCGAATCCATTCGCTCTGGGCTAAAGATGAAAATGCCCCTTGGAAATCAAAAGTAGCGGGAGTAGTAGTAACAGCCGGAAGGGACGCGTGAAGCTCTAGTCCCCGACCTCGTAAAGGCACTGCAGAAGGATCAGAAAAAGCTTCATCTTGAGGTTTCCTCCCGATTGGACTCTCCAGACGTGAACAAGACGACCGAGAGGGCACTGGGTGAAATTTAAAATGGCCAAGTGTGTATTTGGATCGAGCAGGAATGGCCTTATGTGCCAAGACCTGAAGTAATGGAATTAAATCGGGCACAGCTAAAACCTAGCTCACCTATCACCAAGTATCACTTCCTGTGGGTGAAAGGCGCACTCTCCCTGGAAGGGCAAGTGCTAAAATTAAAGCAGTCCCAGACTGTTCCGATAAAGTCAGAGAGAGGAAAACCACCAGAGGCTGCTCATCCCTGTGGTGATTGTCAGAATTGGAGAGGAAGCCAGGAAAGCCATCATTATGCAACTCTCAAATTACCTTACGCTCTTAGGACAATTGCTCTGAGACCAGTGAAGGTGTCCCAACAAATACAAAGCCCTCACCTTCTTCCCTCCACCAAGAGGTGCCTTAAGTCCCACTAAGAAAGGTTTTCGGAGCATACGGACGTCTCCAGAGTCAGGCTCTTTGCCTGTCCACCAGCCCGAATTGAGCCCCTGGATGATACCATCGTAACCTTGCCATGATTGCACTCAAAACTTGCAGGCCTTAAGCCCATCAAAAAGCAGATCTCACAGTAACCCGGTAGGAATAAATACACGAATATCACAATGTAGTTCATATCCACAGATATTTATTGAGTGCCTGTATACAAGAATGAAGACATGAGGGTCCCTGCTCTGACAGAGCTTACAATTCCATGACTCCCATACTTGCCTAGAGTTAAAAACACCTGCAGCAAGCACTTGTCTTTGCCTATCAGCAGCACTGCAGGAAGCAAGTGTTTCACATTATATTTGGTCACTGTTACAGTGCAATGGTGAGTAAGACAATTATCTTTGAAGTCTGTAGTCACAGCGATGACATGGTATATCATGTCCAGCAAATGCAAACTTATGGCTTGATTCCTCCTATCTGAGAGGCATCTATTGAAATAAAACATAAATCGGAAGGAGAAAGCTTCTAAGGCCCTAAGAATACTGGTGTAGTTTAATCTATTATCAAACTGCCGCAGAACTCTTGGCAAAAAATTATCTCCTGCAGAATGTGTGCAATATAATTGGTTTAATCAGACCTGTACATCTCATGACCACACACACTCTCATGACGGGTAAACATGATTTACCTGTAGGATTCTTAAGGGGTGCTAGGTATGCACTTATTTTTTAAAGCTTCTTAAAGCCTCACAGCACAAGTGGCACATTAAAATGTAATGAAAATTGCTTTTGAGATAAAAATTAGAATGACAAAAATGTCTAATTTTACTACATATTTAAGTGCAGAATTCAAATTTAAATAGCATTCAGCAAAGCACCTGGCTTTTCAGAGTTAAGAAGGGGAACACGGTTCGGTTGTTCGCCAAACTCTAAAAACAATCCTCATCTTTATATACGGCTCTTCTGATGCCCAGTGCCGGCCTTCCTGCGGTCCTACCTTACAGGCCCCCACGGTGGAGGTCTAGTAATGGAACATTCAAAGGAGCCATTATTTTGCTTAAGTGGCCACCTTTTTTTTTTTTTTTTTTTAAGGAAAATAGCCTATATTTACATCAAATAACCCCCCATCACCTATTTAAGATGCTTCTGAACTTCTACCCAACAGGTTACCAGTTTTAATAGTCACTTAAAAAACAAACACCTCACACCAGGAAGAGGATCATTTGAACTCCAAATCTCATTTTTCTTGCAAAAAAGTGGAGAGATCATCTTAGACCACCTAACAGAAATGACAACCAACCCAAGGTCATTCTTAAGTCAATTGCTGGGGGCACAACCTACTTTTCTATTTAAAAAGTCCTAAATCACTACTTCAAACACCTAATTAACTCAGAATGAATCTGAAATGTGTACTTTTGTTGAAAAGTTACTAAGCACCAGGTACTTTACATAATCTCCTTTAAAATGGAAGGAAGCTTCTTATCGCTTCATCTTATCTCTTGCTGCTGAGGCGGGCAGGCCTGAGCCTGGTGATGACCCAGGTCCGCCTGGCTCTCCCTCCCCGGCCCAGCAGCTCTGCCCTTAGCCACCCCTTCGGCGTCGGCGGGACAACATACTGTGCCTCGGGGCTCCTGAAAGGAGAGGAAGGGGGCAGAACCAAGGGAAAAGAGAAAGCAAACTCTATTTGCATTGAAATAATCCTACAATGGAAGGTGCACTCAGGTTTACTCCCCAGCAGCTCAGCCCCAGCCGGACACGGAATAGTTCACCTCCCAGGGACACCGGCTACTTTCTAACATCGCCACTTTTGGGGTTGTTTTTAAGCTGAGCATCCTATGTTTGTAAATTAAGCACAAAAAAGGGAAAGATGGCTCAAAGGATTTTCCTTGGTTCTCTTCTTCAAAGCTATGAAGAAAAAGGTTTTTTTAATGTTTAAGTAAGTAACTGCTACTTCCAATCTATGATACGTTTCAAGAATCAAAGCACATGTCTTCTGAGAGGCACAGAAGAGGTTTTGATGGGGTTTCCGATCTTTCTTGGAATGAGCCAATTGAGACTACTAAGAAGATAACTGCTTCACAAGATAAAACTATCTCTTCTGAAATGGCAATTTCCTATTCTTGAGATGGACTTCGTGATAAATGGAGAGAACAATGAATATCCTAGTAATTTTCAAGTTAGATTTTAATGTCACATATAGGAACACAAAGGGAATACCATCAGTAAAGTCAATCCCTTTACTAGGTCTTGACACAGCTGTACTGGAGCTTGATTAAAATTAACTTATTCTTTACTATAATTAGTTGACTTAAAAAAAAAAAGGCTAGAAAAAAATACTACGAATAAAGGCACTTATTTGGTTGCTGAATAATTGTGATGAGCCCAAGGTCTTCAACTGGTGGCAGGAGTCAGGAGCAAAGGTTCAACTCATGGATAGGAACAGAAGAGTCAGGTGTCAGATGGCCCCTCCCTATGGAGGACCCCTCTCCCCCAGCAAAGCTGAGAAGGGAGCACCGCTGGGGCAGCACACCTGGAGCTCAGCCAGGTAAGCTTTGGTGAAGGGTCCTCAAAGATAGTTTGAGATCCCTGCTCAAAGGCATACACAGACCCTAGTGGAGTGATGGTTGGCTTGGCTCATTAGAACTACAAGCTACTAAGAGTCACATAAGAAGAAAAAGTTCAAAAGAAAACCAAACTTTAAAACCTGAGCTTTATCAGTGGGAATAAATATTGAAAGTTCAGAAAGCGTCTATTTATGACCGTGTACAGGAATATGTGGGCACTGGATTCCGACCAGCCACCGAAAAGTGGGCAGTGGAACAGCCCAGACTTGACCAGCAGTCAGAACATATACCTGCTAGTGCTGCTGATCAGAGCACAGCCTCCTGCCCATGTGCCACTGCCAAGGCCGGGAGCTGGAGCCCTCCAGCATGGCCAAAGGCCCAACGCTCCATCTACACACATTCTGTGTCCGTGCACAAGCAGGCGCGGGTGCTCTAATCTAAACCTAGCATTCTGACATCCCCTGCTATGGCAGGAGGTTTTTTTGGCAGGGGAGGAGGAGCGCAGCAGGGTTAAATACATCTGCATGGTGACTGACGGCTGAAGCCATGTACCCGGAGGAAACCACCTCACTGGGTGGTGGTCTGTCTTCCATCAAAGCTTCATCCATCAACTTATGGCCACAGCAGGGACACAGTTCCACTCGGAATGCTGAGCGCAAAGCTACAGCTCCCCAACTGCTTACCGTTTTCTGAGAAGTACTACATATACAACATTAGAGAATTACAACTCTCATTTTTCCTTCCTTACAGACAATAAAGTTCAAGGGAAACAAAAGGAGTTATTCATAGTTTCCAAAGCTTTCCAATATTCCATTATTTCCAATATTTCCATTATTACTATTCTAATATTCACTCTAAGACGTGTTCCTAACAGGAACTGCATTACCATTAAAAAAAAAAATCCCAACACAACTAAAATCCAGGGTATGCTGCATTTTTCTTTTTTTTTTTTTGCATTCAGCATGTATTAGTCTATTATTATAGAAGCTATTCTTAAGCATTTATTTAAAAAAAGAATCATATTCACAAGGTAGAACAAGTATATAAAATTAGTGTGCAAAGGTAATTGTAAAAGGATAACACTATGTGTTTAGAAACAAGCTGCCTCCCCTGTTTACATTTCCTTACTATTGATATAAACTGGAGACTTACACTATTTAAAAATAATACTTTTTAAATAGTAAAATATACAAGAGATTCCTGAGCATAACAAAAATATCTTGAAAATATGTGGCCATTTGAAGTATAAAACAGTAAGTGTAAAGAATAGCATGATTGTAAA